TCACTCTAATCTGATTTCTCCCCGTCATCATCTTGGTGGGCATCCCCGTCATGGCCGTTCTTGTCCTCCTTGGAGAGGTGAGCCTGAGAGCCCAAGGCTGAGAGCGAGAGGAGCCCGGTGCCGGCACTGACAGCAGGGAGGGACGGGGGCTGGAGGCCCACGGGGAGTGGAGTCAGAGGCAGAGCGAGGGCTTGGAGCTGCGACAGCTGGTGAGCTTGAAGCTGCTGCTGTAGAGAATGATGGACAGACAGGAAGACAGGAGAGGGATATTGTCATTATTTTGAGTGCACTTGCACCACACACACATGCAAAAAAAAAAAAAAAAGAGATTCTAGAGTCCTTGGGCTGTGACAGCCTCAAAAGACGACTCAACAGCGTGGCCCTAGCACAACACGCAGCCCCCAGCCCACAGGACATCTGGCCTCAGACTTTGGCATGCTCCAAGGATGCAGATAAAGCCCTCCTGACCTTGACCAAGAACAGATGGTGTTTTCATGTCAAGGAGCTGCAGTGGCTCCTGCTCAAAACCAAAGCTCCTCTCCTTGCACCCTGCTGGGATGCAGCAGAAATCTGTGCTCCCCTGCAAACCCATGCCCACGTCATAACAAGACTGGACAAAACCAGCCCCATGCCAGCAGGGCCAACCCAGCACTCCTCCTTGTCCCACCAGGGCGGCAGAACTGCAATGTGGAGCACCTGCTCCCAACATGTGGGGCACAGCCCCAGGTTACAACTCCCCTGCCCAGCTCTGTCTTGAAGACCAAAGGCATGGATTCCCATCCCTCCGAACCCAAACTAAACATGCATCACGTACACGGATGATGGAGTTCAGTTCTGGTGCTGTAACCTGCTTGGCTCGTTCAATGGCTCCCAGGACTTGCTGCTGATGCTGGTGTGGAGAAAACAGAGGAATTCAGGGTCATTTCTAGTGTCACAGGGAAGGAGAACAGCGACTCATCCCTGCTGGGTCTGACACACACACGTACGTTATCTCAGCTGCTGGCATGGAGATGTCAGGGCACAGAGTCAGGCTGGTTAACCCCACAGCTGGAGACACCTGCACGCACTTCATTTGTGACACGGACCTTACACCACTGAGGCCCATGGCAGCGAGAAGCAGGGAAGGAGGCATGCTTGTCTCATTCCAGTTCCTCACCACAGGGTTAAGCAGGTCCCCTCTTACCCCCATCCTTGTCCCTCTGCACAGGCCCAGTGGTCTTTGGCCAGAAGGGCTCTAAGTTGGGCAAAGCCTCTCACCCTGCCTCCCCTCTCCTACCCAGACTTGACACAAAGCAAGACCCCCTAACAAACAGAACAAGTCCTAAAATCAGAAGCTCTTGGGAAGCTCCCTGCTCCTTGGGACACATCCTGGGTCCCAACTGCAGCAGCTGGAAGATGCTGCTGTGGAAGAGCCCAGCATGGCTGCTCCAAGCACAGGCAGGAAAGCAGCTGTATCACATAGTTTAAAAAATAAAGGACAACTGTACTTGCTCCTCCGGGAACACAAGGTCCCCAAACACCAGGCCTGTCCATTGCACTCCAGCAAGTGGATTTTTCTTTCCATCTTGGCAGCAGGACAGGGTTGGGGAGGGGAAAGGGGTTGCATTAAGATGTAAAAGGTTTAGTTATGGCTTAGTTATTAGGCAGCTCTGATCTGATCAGCAAGCCACTTTGTCTTCCCTGAGAACAGGTGGGTGGGAAAAACACAGCCTATCCCCCAACCCCACAGCTAGACCAGATCAAGAAACACAGCTTCCATCCCACAGCTAGTCCTGACCAAAAAACAGCCATGAGAACAGCCATGGAGCTTAGCCTCTGTGGGGTTGTATGGGGAGATGGACAGATACAGCACTAGAGGTGCTTCATCTTCCTCCTGCCTCAGGCAGCAACTCCCAAGCCCTCCCAATTAATTTCTCAGGGGACTGGGAGGAGCCCATCAGCTGCATTAATTAATGAGGCAGAGAAACCAGATCTCAAGGAGGAGCCATATGGAGGTATTTTTTTTAAACGCCCCCCTCCCCCAATTAGCCATCCAAAGCTCCCACCGCCAGGGCAGAAGTGGTCGATGACTCAGGAGTCACGGTCGGGAGAACAGAGCCCATCTTTGTCCACTGCCACCAACAAAGGGGACGAGCGGCGGGGGGACTGCTCGAAGGCCTGTCTTGAAGGGCTCATCCCTGTGCAGGGGCTGAGAGCAAGCAACAAGGTTTCCAGACCAGGGGCAAGAAGCTGCCCATGTGGGACAGGGGGCCTCCGTTCCCCCCTGCCAGCACACCTCCAGCCAGAGCAGAGGCTGAGCCGCGGGACTCACCTCTTGCGAAAGGTAGGGCAGAACCTGTGCGCAAATCCCATTTAGCCTCTTGACAATTTCAGCCTAGAAGGCAGGAAGAACAGAGAGGAAAGGCATCAGGAGGCTCAGGACCCACCACCCTCAGCACTGGCTGCCCCACACCTTCCCCCTCCCCAGGCAGGGCTTGAGTCCCCAAATGGCCCTAAAACACACTCTCCCCAGAAAGTTGCTGCCAGTGTCCTGGTGCCACAGCAGGTCACCTCGCCCCCATGGCCCCTCCCTACACAGCTGAATGAATCAACGCTGCCGACTGCAAAGAGCAAGTTTTCAATATTCTCTTCCCTCTCTGGGTCTCCAATATTCACTTAACAAATCGGGAGCAACCATAGAGGAAACTTCTCATAGACCCTGGTGAGAATGTGCTGAATTAATTTGCCACGCACCCACAGACAGACACACATGCTGCCTCTGCTGAGACCCCCACTCTGCCCCAGAGATGGGCTGCCCAGCCTCCTCAGACTCCCCCTCCCCAAAGGCCAGCGTTCACCTGCTGCCAGCCTCCC